GAGAGGGGACACTGCCCGAAGGAGCTCAACAGTTCCAAGGGGCACCGAGGCCGGTGTGGTTCAGTGGATAGAGCGTCAGCCTGCAGACTGAAAGGTCCCAGGTTCGATTCCGGTCAAGGGCATGTACCTTGGTTGTGGGCACATCCCCAGTGGGGGGTATGCAGGAGGCGACTGATCAATGTTCTCTCATCGATGTTTCTGGCTCTCTATCTCTCTCCCTTCCTCTCTGTAAAAAATCAATAAAATATATATATTTTTTAAAAATAGTTCCGAGGGGGGAAGGGCCCCGAATGCCAGGCTGAGGTGGGGAGCAGACTTCGTTCTCTCCTCTAAGAGGACTGACCAAGGTTCCCACGACCCATGCCCCACACGGGCATCTCGCTCCCAGGTCACTTTACCCTGAAAGCTTGTCACCCAGTGTCCCTCCCTCCAGGCAGGCCTGGGCCTGGAGCGCGGGTCTCCTCCCTGACTTCCAGCCAGCGCTCACTCCTCACCCCGCTTCCTCCTGGCCGCGGCCTCCCCCGCAGCCTCCCTCGCAGGCAGCGGTGTTTGCTCAGAACCTGGGCAGCGAGCACAGAAACAGTTATGTCCCTGCCAGCCGGGCCTCTGCGGCCCCAGGGGTTACCTCGGAGAAGTTCAGTTATATAAGCCGAGTTGACACAGCGGGAGGGAGAAGGAAATGGGTTACAATCATTCTCTTTTTCTCCGTCGCGGACACGTCTTTGAAACTGGACAGCGTGACAGTTCCCTCTCCTGTTTCCTCCCTCGTCTGTGGAGCTCCGGTCTCCAGGAATGTGGGTGGCTCCAGATCAATCACTGGTGAGACTGGGGGTGGGAGAGGGGAGAGAAAGGAAGCATGTCAAAGGGCTGCTTGGCACCAAACACTCTGCCAGGAGCTTTAGACTCAGTATCTCCTCTCACCTCAGCTCAGAGAGCTCAGAGCCAGCGAAGGAGGTCATTTTCTCTTTTACCTCCATCTTACAGGCAAGGAGTGGGGGCCCAGAGAGGTTAAGTAACTTTCCAAGGGGCACCCAGCAGGGCCAGGTCAGTCTGGCTCTGACATTCTGAAGTTTTTCAAACATCAGATACAGAATCCATAACAGGAGAGCCAGGCATGGTAGCGTCTCCCCATGAAGGAAGGTCCCAATTGGTCCCAATACATCCCTGGTATCTACTCTCCATTCTGACCTTCCCCGCCCCATCCCCTCACCACATTTCATACTTCCCTCCCTGAGTGTGCTCATCTCTACCTCCTGCCCCTCATTTTCACTCCTGAGGGTTCTCCCATCTAGAATGTCGCTCCTCCCTTCCTCATGTGACAAAATCCCAGGAAAATAATAATAAAAACGCTCCTTCATTGAGCACCTGTGAAGTGGAGAAGTTAAAAGCATGAACTCAAGTGTTCTGCCTGGGTTCCACCCAGTTCTACCCCTTTTGCTGGCTGTGTGATCTCAGGCACGTGACTTCACCACTCTGGACCTCAGTGTTGTTTGTGGGGGTGGGTTTTTGCCTATAAGATAGAGATAGTGCCGAAACCAGTTTGACTCAGCGGCTAGAGCGTCGGTCTGTGGGCTGAAGGGTCCCAGATTCTATTCCGGTCAAGGGCTTGTACCTTAGTTGAGGGCACATCCCCAGTAGGGGGTATGCAAGAGGCAGCTGATCAATGATTCTCTCTCATCGATGTTTCTAACTCTCTATCCCTCTCTCTTCCTCTCTGTAAAAAAAATCAATAAAATATATACTTTTTAAAAAGATAGAGATAGGAATACTCTCCTTATAGGGTTGTCATGGGGTAAAATGTTATAAAAAATGAAGTAAAAACTATACAAATAAAAATTTCATTGCAAAGCCTTCAGACATGTGCTGGGCACTCGGTGCTTTTAAAATGTTTATTCTTAGTGCCATGCCTTCAAAATGTGGAGCAGACACCAAGTCAGATTTCCTGTGTTCACAACCCCCCTCAATTGGTGACCTTAGACAAGTTGCTTAACCTCTCTGGGCCTCCGTTTCCTCGCATAAATATTTTTAATTGTAGTTCATCTGTTTCACTTAGGGTGGGTGAGACAATAAACACAAATACCTAGTGGAGGGCGTGGTACGGAGAACCACGTGAATATGACCTATTAATATGTTACTGGGATTCTGACCCCGGTCACCCCGACCCCACAGTCCTCCTCCCCACGCCCTGCTCAGCACCGTGCCCTCTCTGAGCTCCCTGGCACTCCATGGCCTTGTGTCTCAGTGTCACATCTTCAGCCCTGTGGTGGGAAGGCATGAGCCAGGCGATCTGCGCTCGGTGCTTGGTCCACACTGCTGTTCAGCCAGCAAGTATTGAACACCCACTGCCTTAGCCAGTCACTTATTTCACTCAGCGACTATGTGTTCCTACTTACAATGTGCCAGGCTGAGGTCCAGGCTCTGGGGATCCACAAGGTGCATAAAAATTGGCACAGCCCCTTCAGTCACAGAGCTCAGGGTGTGGTGGGGGACACAGCCACTCATCCAACAGAGGCGATGAGAGGGACATGGTGCTGCCGGAGTGCACAGCATAGACATCTTTTTTATATTTTTTTTATTAAGGTATTATATGTGTACATATCTTTCCATTGCCCCCACCACACACACACACACACACACACACACATGCCCATACAAAGCAGCATAGACATCTTAAGTAACACTTGGGTTCAAACATCATGTGTCAGTCGGTGAGGAAAGTGCTTGGCACATGCCAAGGCCCTGTGGCAGGGATAGGAGGGACTGGCAGGGCTGAGCTCAGACAGGGATGAGACTGATGGGGTCTGCAGGATCTAAAACCTGGGGGGACTTTTGTACCATCCTAAGTTCTCGTGTGAGGTAGACTTAGGTCCCCCCTAAATTTTTTTTTTTTTAATTTATTGATTTGAGAGAGAGGGAACATGGATTTGTTGTTCCACTTACTTCTGCATTCATTGGTTGCTTCTTGTATGTGTTCTGACTGGGGGGTCAAACTCACAACCTTGGCAAATTGGGAAGTTGCTCTAACCGACTGGCCAGGTTCCCTCCTCCAAATCTCTTCATTTATTTTAAAATCAAGGGGAACAACTTTTAGGGTGGGAGAAAAAATATTTCAACTTCAGAAAAAAATACATGTTTAGAGGCCATGAACATTCATTACGGTGGGAGGGACCCACAAAAGCCATGAGGTGGCCCTGACAGAGTCAAACCTATTGATGAAGCAGATACCTTCTATCCGTTCCCATTTGATCCTTATACTCTTAATCCTCGCGTGAGACTATTTTCCCGAGATTTTTAGGGAGAGAGTGGGAGAGAGAGGGAAAGACAGAGAGAAACACGAATTTTTCAGAAACCAGGGTCTGGGCCAGGGAGGAGCCTGCAACCAAGATATGTACCCTTGACCAGAATTGCACCTGGAAACCTCTGGTCCACAGGCAGACGCTCTATCCCCTGAGCCAAACCAGCTAGGGCTAATCCTTACATTTCCCACTCTCCCCACCCCACCTCCCCCGACCCAGAGAGGAAAGGAGAGGGACAGAGAGTTAGAAACATCGATGAGAGAGAAACATCGACCAGCTGCCTCCTGCACACCCTCCACCAGGGATGTGCCTGCAACCAAGGTACATGCCCTTGACCTGAATCAAACCTGGGACCCTTAAGTCCGCAGACCGACGCTCTATCCACTGAGCCAAACTGGTTTCGGCAATCCTTACACTTTTATTTTAGCTGCACACATACCTCAGGTGAGGACAATGAGGCTCCTGGAGGGTAAATGAGTTAGCCACAACAGTGAGTTTAGAGGTAAACAGGTGTGGGATTTGAAGCCAGGTTCATCTAACTCAGTGTTTCCCAACCTTCTCTCATGATGAGAATCACCTGGTGGAGTTGTTAAAACACAGATTCCTGAATTCCAACTAAGAAGTGCTAAACTAGAATTTTTGGGAACATATAGGTAAAATTGTATACTTAACTAGTGCTTTAAGACAGATTTTATATACAGAGCACTAAGTTAGGTATGCAATTTTACCTATATGTTCTCAAAAATTCTAGTTTAGCACTTCTTAGTTGGGATTCAGGAATCTGTGTTTTAACAACTCCACCAGGTGATTCTCATCATGAGAGAAGGTTGGGAAACACTGATCTAACTAACTGCAAACCCTTTCTCCACGACATCACACTGTAAGTTCAGCATTTTACTTTAGTCCTCACAGCATAAGGTGGGTCAGGCCCATTTTATTTTTCTTTTATTTTTTTAAGCTAACACAAAATTCATTTAATGCTTTTCCATTCTGTTAAAAAAAAAAATCCCCTGTACTTTCTTGGGAAGCAAAAGTTCTATAAATTATTGAAATAAATACACATTGTTTTATTTTAATCGGGTACTTAATTCGTTTTAAAAAGTGGTCCTAACTGTGGAAACAGGTTCTTCTAGCCTATGTTTGTGTCTAATGCCTTTTGACGCTTTGAATGGATCGTCTACAGGTGGGTGAGTGCAGGCCTCTTGTTCTCTCTCATTCCACCCAGGGGTGTGAGTGCAGGCCCGGGTGGGTCAGTCCCATTTTAAAACTGAGGCCTGGGGGAGAGAAGGGAGTACCTAGCTCACAGCCGTTGGCTAGCCAACGAGAGAGTCGGGCACTAGCCCCTTCCTCCTGCCCCTGGTCTGCCCCACTGCAGGGTCCGAAGCCTTTCCTGCCCCCGCCCCACTGTCTCCACCCTCCACCCTCGCTGTGGCCACCCTCACCGGTCTCCCTACCCCCTTCTGTCCAGTTTCCCAGCACATCGAGGCGCTGCTCAGCACCCACAGCCCCTTCACAACAAAGCAGCGCTGGTGCTGCGCCCGGCGGGAGGGAGGAGAGAGGCAGCCGCCAACGCGAGAGCCAAGGTTTACATGAGACCTGGTCCCCCAGACAAGTGCCCTCTGTAGCTGCGGGCCTGTTGTGACTGGCCCCGGGCCAGCTCTCACCACGGAGCCTTGAACTGCTGGGCCGGTTCCCCGCCTCCCGTCCCCTCCGCAGCCCGGCGCTTGCCAGGCCGAGCTTGGGCAGGAAAGGGGAAGGGTGTTTCTTCTGGAATGGAGGGTGTGGGAGGCAGGCGAGCCTCGGGAGGGTGAGGGGCCACGTCCTGAACCAAACTGGGAGGCTGGAGTCGCTCGGTGGAAGGAGCATGAGGAGGAGTCCCAGGGCCCCAGCCGCGCGTTTTGCTGGCGAGCAAGCTGAAGTCCAGAAGTGGCTTGCCCACGGTCACACAGCGAGTAAGCAGCACAGGTAAGACTCGAACCCGGGACTCCTAACTTCCAGCCCAGGTGCTTGCCTCTCTGTTGGGCTTTTTGTGGTGACCCTGTTAAATAGGTAAGGACATGAGCCGAAACTGGTTTGGCTCAGTGGATAGAGCGTCTGCCTGCGGACTGGAAGGTCCCAGGTTCGATTCTGGTCAAGGGCATGTACATTGGTTGCGGGCACATCCCCAGTAGGGAGTGTGCAAGAGGCAGCTAATTGATGTTTCTCTCTCATCGATGTTTCTAACTATCCCTCTCTCTTCCTCTCTATAAAAAAAAATCAATAAAATATATATTTTTTAAATAGGTAAGGAGATGAGCTTCATAGATCAGGCGTTGAGACGCAGCGAGGTGTCATGGGTTACAGAGCCGTAGGTTTCTTGGAATTTCATAGTCAAGTTCAGATACTCCAGCGTTCACATCCTTCACTCTTTAACTGCAAACACGTTGAGATTAGCCAGGCCCCTGGAAAACGTGGTCAGAGAGGCAGAGAATCAAAAGTGAAACGTCGGCATTGGGGAACACGTCTGATTATTGGGATTCGCAGGAGGACACTGATCTTGATTCTTAAAAAGAATAATAAGGATCTCCCTGAGGGCAGTGGGGGTCAGGGCACCTGTTCCAAGAAGAGGGTGGGTACTCATTTATGTGGTTCCCCCCATCCCAGCCCCGCTCCCACCCCAGCTTTTCCCCCGAGGCTTACAGTGGCTTGTCCATGGTGTACAGAACTCAGTTACAGCTACACGTTCTTGCTTCCAGAGGTGGTCATGGGACGTAACTCGGGAACTTATAAGTAGCTACATCTGTTCTTTTCAGGAATTCCCTGCAGGTACAATCCCCTCAGATCGAAAGCACCGACAGCTAAGGCGGATAGCGCAGGCCAGGTGGGGTTCCTCCAGATTCGGTTTAGTTCTTACTATAGTGACTGCTCTTGTCTTAAATGAATCAGAGGGGTTTCCCCAAAACCCAGTAAACTCACTCTCTCTAGGTGCCCCTGCGGGGCCTTGCTGGCCCTCAGTTTCCCCAATTGTAAGGAGAGGGCATTGGGCTTAGTAGTTCTCAGACAGGGTTCCACAGAACCCTGTGGTCATAGATGGGTGCCTCCGAGGACCATCGCAGAGGGTTGGGGGTGGTGGTGGAGAGATGGTGTGTGGGGAGGGGGGAGCTAGGTTCCTTCAGTCTTTTGGAAGAGTTTAGTTTTCTATCATCAATTCACCCCAAACTCGCCACCAGAAACGTAGATCTCCTTTCCGCCTGAAAATCTCCCGGTTTCATTTCTTCGTGGCTGGTGAGTCCCCTGCGCCTCCCTCCTCCCGCTGTGGGATTGGTCACCCCCAGGTTGCTGCAGATGATGGCCTGGGCACCCCCTGCTCCCCACTGGCTTACTCTTCCACTTTAGGGGGGGGGGGCTGTCCTGTGGGAGCTCCCTGGGTAAAGGGGCACGGGGTGCAGTGGATTTTTTAAAAAGCCTTGCATGCCCCAAAATATCGTTCGTGTGCCCTTTCAGTCAGTATTTAGCTTGGCTGGCTATCCACGTCTCGGCTGGAAATTCTTTTCCCTCAGCGTGTTGGAGGGCTGTCTTAGAGCTTCTGGTGCTGCTGCTGTCAAACCCGGTGCCATTCCCGTTTTACCTGATGGCTGGTCCTTTGTATTTGACTTTAAGAATAAAACTGCCCTCGCCAAGGAGCTCATTTGGTTAGAGCATCATCCTGATACCCCAAGGGTACCCCAAGGTTGTGGGTTTGATCCCCAGGCAGGCCACATACAAGAAGCAACCAACGAATACATAAAGAAATGGAACAACAACTCAACGTTTCTCTCTCAAATCAATTTTTTAAAAGAAGTTTAAAAAAAGTAATCTATGGACATGTGTGGAGTATTCTTTTTATGCCCTGTGCTCTAAAAGGTCATGTGATGAGCCCTATTGTGGGTCTTTTTCATTCATTATTCTGGGGACTCAGAGGGTCCTCCCAGTCTGAAAATTCATATCCTTCGCTCTGGGAAATGTTGAGATATTAGTTTTCATTTGATAATTTCCTTCCCTCAATTTTCTCTGCTTAATCACTTCTGGAAATATTAGGTTGTTGGAACACCCGGAGTAATCTGTTTTGCTCTACTTAATGGACATTATGTCAGTCTTCCAAGCTTTTTTTGAACTTTTTACTTCTTTTGTCAATTTTTAATTCCTTATCAACCTTTCTTAAAAAAAAAAAAAAAAAATATATATATATATATATATATATATATATATACACATAATTGACTTCAGAGAGGAAAGGAGAGGGAGAGAGAGATAGAAACATCAATGATGAGAAAGACTCTTTTATCCACTGCCTCCTGCATGCCCCCTACTGGGGACTGAGCCTGCAACCCAGGATGCTCTACTCACTGAGCCAAACCAGCTAGGGAGATGCTGAGCTTTTAATTTTATTTAATTTTAATTAATTTTAATTTAAATGTAAATGGCTACACGGGACTGTCATCGGGCTGTGCAGGTCCACCCCCTGATTCACCCGCAGAGGGTGAACTTACCGCATCCCTCGGGCAGAGGAAGCCAATGCCAGGGACCCAAGGAGGAGGGAATGGAGCTGAGCTGCCACTTCCTCTTTGCAGCCCCATCTGCTGCCACCCATTCCCGAGTCTCCCTGGGGTTTCTCAGCGACATCAGCTTTTATGGGTTTCCCGTCAGCCGGTCTGGGCCTTGGCCTTTTCCACTCGGCCATCAACTCTTCCTGCTTTCCAGCCTGGCCGGCCTCTCTCCGATGGTTGTCTTCCCTCCTTCCCCTTCGCCTGTGGATCTACACGTCTTGATTGCTTTACTATCATGTGTACGGCGTCTCAGGAGGGAAGCAGAGATGAATGCTTGTGTTCCATCGGCAATGTTTAACCAGAAAAAATATAATTTTTTTAAAAGAAAAATATAGGTCCTAAGCATTATTTCTCCCAGAATGAGGCAAAACCGAATTTATCCTTTTTACCTCAGTTTTCGTACGGGTCAGGAGAGTCATCCCTAAGTCACTGTGGGGCCGAGGACTGCTGGGGGAGGTGTGAGGCCCAGGCTGCTGGCCAGCTGGGGCGGGACAGGCTGGCCACCCCAGGCAATGTGGTGTCATTTCTGTAAGGGATGGTCAATGGGCTCCTGGAGGGGCCCTGCAGCTGAAGGGCATCCTTGCACCAGAATGGGACAGGAAGTGGACTTACAAGATTAAAGACCTCTGAACCCTCTGTCTTCCGGACGAAACCGGGCCCAATTACTCAGTAGCTGCACTGGCAACCAGTGCATAGCAAGCATGATAAATGGTGGCTGTGTTTGTGGTCATCATCATCATTGATATTACTGGTTGTCTATCCACGGATGGATATTCCCCTTCCGGACGAGACTTTCTCATGTGGAAAGGACAGGGCACTGCCAAGAGACAGGTGTGTTGTTCTGTTCTGTTCTCCCCCAGAGGCCATCTGCCTCTCAGACTGAGAAACATCTGGAGACATCTTAGCCACAACGAGGGGTGCTGCTGGCATCTCGTGGCTGGAGGCCAGGGATGCTGTAAACATCCTACCGCACAGGTCAGGCCCCGAAATGAGAATTATCTGGCCCCGTGGCAACAGTGCCGGGCGTGAGGGGCCCTGCCATTTCAGGGCGCTGACCCTGGCAGGGCCCCAGGACAATGGCTTACCTCCGGGAGGCTTGGCAGCTACAGACAGTTTGGAGGTAGAAGATGTTAGTTTGAGTCTCGGCTCCTCCACTCACTATAAGACTTGGAGCAAGTCACTCAACTCTCCGAGCCTCGGTTTTCTATCAGCAAAACGGAGATAAAGAGGCCCGCCTTGTTGAAGTGATTACATGAGAAAACACGCGGGAGCCTAGTGCCTAGCACTGTGTTCGTGTCTCCTTAAGGGTTGCCTCCCTCCCCTTCCTGACTAGGACGTCAAGATGGAATTCTTTTCTTCTGGCGCATTCACTGAAGGGCATGCATTCTTTAACCTTGGGCCTGTTTGTCCTCCGCGGGGACAGTGGGACACCTGGAGATTTGTGCGGGAGGTGGAGTGTGAGGAGCCTTGGGAGCCGGGCCCTTGGCTTGTGCCCCAAGACTGCCGGCCAGATGGAAGCCACAGGTCACATTCCAGCTCTCGGTCAGACTCCACCAAACGCCCACAGGTCTCATCCTCCCCCTGACTCCTGGCACTGTTTGTGCCACCCTGTTGGCACCAGGCAAACATTGGCCCCGTGACCACTTTCATCTGGGATTGCTGTTTATAAACCTTAGCGTGTGGAACTTAGATCCGTGCGTCTGGGGTTGGGAGCTCCTTGAGGCGGCTCTCTTTCCAATGTGGGCCATGAAAATCAGAAACAGAGAATGTCCAAGGCAGGATGTGACAGAGTAGGTAAATAAGACTTCATGGGAGTGGTGGGCCTAGAACCCAGATCTGCAAGCCACTGCTTTTTCCATAGGTCTTCAATAGGATATTGATCAGACATCGCTGAGATCAAGGCTGGGCTAGATGTGAGGGAGATGATTCCCAATAATTATTGATTGAAGAATTCTTAAAGGAAACAATTCTACTTCTTATCCTCACTGTCTAAGCTCTAAGACAGCCCTTCTTTGCATCCTCTCTGTGCTATGTACGTGGTAGACGCTGGTTGAGTGAATGACAAGGAAAATGGACAGAAGAACAGGTGGAAGGCAAATTGTGTGCAGTGGAGGGGTGGGTGGGTACGTGAGTGGATGGGAGGGTGAAAGAATAGGTGGATAACTGAAACCAGAAATGTGCTTCCTAATTTCTGAAAACCAACCACAAGGAGCAAGTATTTTGTTTGTAATTGTGGATGGCCCCAAGTGCAAGGGAACATTAAGCCAAGTTGGATCCCATCTTTGGGAGTTGTAATACACAAGGGGACAGAGCTCTGCACAGGCAGGCAGATGGCGCATGGGAGATGATGGGGGAATCCAACAGGAATGGAGAGTGTAGGAGGTGGCCCTTTAGGATTCA